ATGATGATGATGATGATGATGATGATGATGATGATGATATGATGATGATGATGATGATGATGATGATGAGATGAGTGAGATGAGGATGAGGATTGGGATGAGGATGAGGATGAGGATGATGACGATGAGGAGGAGGATGATGATTATGATGATGATGATGACGATGATGATGATTATGATGATGCTGATGATGCTGCTGATGATGATGCTGACGATGATGACGATGCTGCTGATGATGATGCTGATGCTGATGCTGATGATGATGATGCTGATGATGCTGCTGCTGCTGATGATGATGATGATAATGATGATGATGATGATGATGATGATGATGATGATGATGATGATGATGATGATGATGATGATGATGATGATGATGATGATGATGATGATGATGATGATGATGATGATGATGATGATGATGATGATGATGATGATGATGATGATGATGATGATGATGATGATGATGAGGATGATGATGATGATGATGAGGAGGAGGAGGAGGAGGAGGAGGTGGAGGAGGGAGTGAAAACATTCGGGAGGGGGTCATTTGGCTGCCGCGGAACGCTGGGGGATCGGGGCGGACGGGGCATTGGCTGCTGGGGAGCACGTGGGCTGCCAGAAAACGCCTGGGGGGAGGGGAGGCGCGACATGCAATGGGCCGCCGGGCAGAGGGGGCACTTTGGCTGCTGGGGAACGCCTGGCTGCTATAGGAAACGCTGGGGGTGGGCGGGGGGATGCGGCGCGAAGATAAAACATGTCGGGGCGGAGGGGGCATTGGGCGGCGAGGGCACTGGTCTGCTGGGCAACGCCGGGGGTGGGGCGGAGGAGGGGGGCACTGGGCGGAGAGGGCACTGGACTGCTGGGGAGAAGTGGGCTGCTGGGGAGTGCTGGGCTGCTGGGATAATCTTCGGGGAGGGGGTGGGTGGGGGGGGCGGTGCTGCGCGAAGACACAGTTATCCGAGCGAGGGAGGGCACTGCGCGGAAAGGGCAGGAGGCTGCTGGGGAACGCTGGGGGGGTCGGGGCGGAGGGGGCAGTGGACGGCTGTGGAAGACGGGGCTGCTGGGGAACGCTGGGTTGCTGGGGAGCGCTGGGTGGAGGGGGCGCGGGCGGTGCGGCGCGAACATGCGATTTTCGGGGCGAGGGGGGCACTATGCGGAAAGGGCTTCGGGCTGCCGGGGGACATTGGGGGGTCGGGGCGGAGGGGGCGCTGGGCGCAGATGGCACTGGAATTCTGGGGAACGCTGGGGGGTCGGGGCGGAGAGGGCACCAGGGTGCTGGGGAGCACTGGGCTGCCAGGGAACTCTGGGCTGCCGGGGAACGCTGGAAGCAGGGGGCACGCTGGAAGCAGGGTGGAAAACGGTGTGTGTGTGTGTGTGTGTGTGTGTGTGTGTATGTGTGTGTGCGGCGCGGGAGTACAATGGTCGGGTCGCAGGGGGCAGCTGGCGAAGATAGCTGAGGGAGGGGGGTTGCTGGCGGGGAGCGTTGGGGGAATGGGCCGGAAGGTGTGCTGCGCGGAAATAAAGCGGCCGGGGCGGGGAGGGCAGCGCTGGGGAACGCTACGGGGTCGGGGCGGAGAGGATACTGGGTGCTGGCGAACACTGGGCCGCTAGGGACCGCCTGGCTGCTGGGGGGGCGCTGGGAGCAGGGGGGTGCGGCGCGGAAAAAGTTAACTGGTGCTGAGGGTGTCGTTGGCGAAGGTGGCACTTGACTGCTGTGGAACGCCGGAATAGAGGGGTGTTGGTGGGGAGTGCTATTGGGAAGTTGGCGGGGGGAGTAATGCGGCGCGGATATAACATGGTCGGAGCTCTTAGACGCAGCGTGCAATATAACAAGGTAATGAGGCGGTCGGAACGGAGGGGGCATTGGGCTACTGGGGGACATGGGGTTAGGGGGGCGGATGCGGTGTCCTGCGGGGGGTGGGGGGCGGGGTCGGCGCGAAAATCAAGCAGGCGGGGCGGAGGGGGATTTGGTATATTGGGCAGCAGCGGGGATGAGGGCGCGCGCGGTGTCTCGCGGCGGGGAGGGAGGGGGGGACAGTGCGCGATGCTGGTTTAGCGTAGGAGCACCGCGCTGCTGGGTGGGCGATGGGGGGACGAGGCGGGGGCGGTGCCCCGCGGGGTTGTGGGTGAAGGGGGGAGGTGGGTGGGTGGGTTGGTGGGGTGGGGTGGGGTGGGGTGTTGGGTGGAGGAGGGGGGCCACAATCTTGCCGTCGGGGCGGAGGGGCCACTGGGCTGCTGGGGGTCTGGGGAGTGGCGGCGGGGTCTGCGTCCTGCGGGGGGGGGCGGGGGGGGCGGTGCGATTAAATGTGCGTTGCGGAGGGGGGCACTGGGCAGCTGGGGGACAATTGGGGGAGAAGGGCGGGGTCGGCGCCTTGTGGGAGGCGAAGGGGAGGAGGGGGGGAGTGCGATGTGGTGCGGAAGTCACGTTGCCAGAGCCGCCGGGCTGCTGGAAGGCAATGGGGAGAGGGGGCGGGGGCGGTGCCCCGCGGGGTGCGTGGCGAGGGAAAGGGGCGAGCGAAATGACATGGTCGGAGCGGAGGGGGCTGGGGGCCAGTGGGGACAGGTGGCTGAGGCTGCGACCTGGCGGGGGGGGGCGCGGAGGGGGGGTCGTTGCGACAATGGGGCGGTCGGTGCGGAGGGGGCACGCGGCCGCTGGATGGCAGTGGGGAGAGGCGGCAGGGGGAGGTGTCCTGCGGAGGAGGGGGTGGGCAGGAGGGCGGTGCAACAACACAATGGCTCGGGGGAGAGAGCACTGGGCAACCGGGGGGCAGTGGGGAGAGGGGCGGGGGGCGGTCCGGGCGGATGGCCGCCAGGGTGCTGCTGGACAGCGGGGAGAGAGGGCGGGTGCGGTGTCCTGCGGCCGGGAGGGGGGAAGAGGGGCGCGGTGCGAAAATCGAATGGTCGGGGCGGACGGAGCACTGGGCGCAGAGAGCACTGGGCTACTGGGGAACACCTGGGCGCTGGGAGCACGGGGCTGCTTGGGAACGCATTGCGGGGGGGCGTCGAAATAACGAGGCACGCGCGAAAAGACACTTGTCTGAGCGGAGAGGCACTGAGCTGCTGACAGTGAGGAGAAGGGTCGGGGACGGTATTCCGCGGGGAGAGGCGAGGAGGCGGGGTGCAACGCGACAGTAATTCTGTCGAGGTGGAACGGGGCATCGGGCTGCTGAGGGGGAACTGGGGTGATGGGGGGGCTGTGCCCTGTCGGTTGGGTGGAGAGGGGAGGCGGGGTGCGGTGAGGAAACAACATGTTAGAGGCGGAGGGGGCGTTGGGCTGCTGGGGGACACTGTGGCGAGGGGCGGGGGGGAATCGGTGCGATAATCACATTGCATGCGCGGAGGAAGCATTGGGCTTTTTGGGGAGCAGTGTGGATCGGGGGCGGGGGCGGTCTCCGGCTGGGGTTGAGGGAGGGGGGCGCGACGCGAGAATCGAATGATCAGGGCGGAGTGGGCTGCTGCATGACAGTGTGGAGAAAGGGTGGGGGGCGGTTTCCTGCCAGATGGAGGGGGGGCGGGGGCGCAGTGCGAGGTTTAAGTGGTCGGGGCGGAGGAGGTTCTGGGCGCAGAGGGTACTGGGCTGCTGGGGATCACCTTGGCAGTTGGGAACACGGGGCTGTTTGGGAACGCCCTGCGGAGAGGAGGGGGGAGGTGCCAAAATGAAATGGTCGGGGCGGGCGAACTATTAGGCTTCTGTGGGGCGGTGGAGAGGGGGCGGGGGGCAGTGTCTTGCGGAGGCCAAGGGGGGTGCGGTGCGCAAGTGAAATGGTCGTGGCGGAGGGAGCACTGCGCAGGCAAGGCGGGGGCATGTTCCCATCTGAGGGGATAGGGGGGGGCCACGCGAGAGAAACATGGTCGGGGCGGAGGGGGCAGTGGTCTGCAGCTGGACAGCGGGGGGGGGCGGGAGCGGTGTCCTGCAGGGGGGGCCGCAGGGGGGGTGCGGTGCGAGAGTGAAGCGGTCGGGACGGAGGGGCACTGGGCGCAGAGGGCACTGGGCTGCTGGGGGAGACTTGGGCTGCCGGGAACACGGGGCTACTTGGGAACGCCCTGCGAGGGGCAAGGGGAGAGAAAGGGAGTGAACGAGAACTTTGCGGTTGGGGCTGAGGGGCCACTGGGATGATGACAGTTGGGGGAGGTGGCGGGGGAGGTGTCCTGCGGAGGGGAGGGGGGAGGGGGGGGAATCGGTGCGAAAATCACATGGCGGTGCGAACACCACATGGTCGGGGCGGAGGGGGCAATGGGCTGCTGGGGGACTCTGGGGAGAGGGGGCGAGGGGTGGTATCTGGCGAACGGGCGGTGGCCGGGGGACAAAGGGGTTGCGGTGCGAAAATAAGATGGTCGGGGCGGTGGGAGGAGTGGGCAGTTGGGGCACACAGGGAAGAGGGGCGGGGGCGGTGCCCGTCTGGGGTGGAGGTGGACGGGTGCGACCCGAGAATACAACGGTCGGGGCTGAGGGGGCATTGGGCTGCTGCTGGACAGTGTGGAGAAGGGGGCGGGGTGTGTGTCGTGCGGGGGGGAGGGGGCGGGGGGCGCGGTGCGAAAACCAACTGGTCTAGGCGGAAGGGGCATTGGGTGCAAAGGGCACCAGGCACCAGGCTGCTGGGAAACACCAGGGCTGCCGGGAACACGGGGCTACTTGGGAAGGCCCTGCGGGGTGAAAGGGGAGGGGTGGGGAGGCGCTGCGAAGATAAAGCGGGTGGGGCGGAGGGACCATTGGGCGCAGACGGCACGGGGCTGCTGCGGACCAACTGGGCTGCGGGTGCACCACGGACTGCTTGGAAAAAGGGGGGGGGGAATGGGCGGTTCGAAAGTGTGGCGGCGTCGGAAGGGGCATTGGGCTGCTGGCGGGCAGCTGCGAAAAGAGGCGGGGCCGTCGTCCTGAGGGGGGGAATGGGGGGCTGGGGCGGTTGCGAGCTGAAAGTGGTCGGAGCTCCAGACGCAGCGCGCAAGACAGGAAGGGACCCTCAGCTCGGGAGGACGGCCGGCGCCTCCTCGCCGAGGTCCTGCTGTGCATGGCGGCGCACCTGCGCAGCGCCTTGCTCGCCGTCGGCGGCCTCGCGGCCGTGGGCCTGTCGGTGCCGCTGTCGGGGGCCCGGGCGTCGCCGCCGCCGAGGGCCCCCTGTGGCGGCGCGCGCGAGGTTGCGGCACGGGGGGGCGGCTTTCTAAGACAACGGCCTTCCCGTCTTCTAAGAAGCGCTTTGGCATCGCTCGAGCGTGTATCCTTTCTCTCGGTGGGGACCATCGGGGAGCATCCTGGGTCATCTTGGGCAAAAGAGAAGCGCACGAAGCCGAGAAGTGCACTGGGAAGGGGCGTCCGAGCGATGGCAAGGGCGTGCTCAAGAGGCCTACAGGCCCCTCTCAGGAGGCCCCCGCCTCTGAGAAGCGCGCCGCCGTCTCCGAGGAATGCCCCTCCTTGCGCGCCACCCCCTTGCGCCCCGCGGCCCCGCCACCCCCCCGTCCCTCCCAGGCAGAGGTCCCCCAGGCGTGCAGTCGTCGTGACAAACGTTCTGGCCGCGCGGGATGGGCCCCGGGGCGGGGTGCTTCGAGGCTCGAGCTTCGAGCTCGAGGTGTGCAGTTCTTGCTGGGCGCTCCCGTCGGCTCTCGGCGGCCTTCCAGCTTCGGGAGGCGCTCCAGCGGCTGCGCCTCGCCGACAGCGGGGGCGCCACCGGAGAGCCGAGTCATAGCCCGAGGGGCAGCGTTTGGGGGGAGAGGCTCAGAGGGGGGAGGACCCGCTCCCAATCGCCCATCGCCGATAGGGGTCCGATCGCCCACTGCGCGCAAGGACGCGCGCAATTGCAGTCGAGGGACTATCGCCGATCGATCGGCGATGGCCGCGTAGGGAGAGACGTACCAATGTCGTCGCTCGCTCTGGTGGCTCTAACATCCTCACGTCGTGGGCAAGAGCACGATTACGGAAGGCTCTCCGCCGTGTTTGGCTTCGGGGTCCACTGCCGATTCTGGAAGTCCGCGCGCGAGTGCACGTTTTGTGGGGTCTGTTCCTGAAAGCTCCGAGGCGCGGAGGTACAGTCGGGGCGCTGAAGAAGGAACCCTTTGGGTTGGGGAGGGGCTCGGTGTTCCTTAATTGTTCCACACCTCGCCTTAGGTTTTCTTCAAGTTTTCGATAGGAAGTCGAAGTTTAACTTATGGAAGACAGGGGCCTTGTTCCTTATTCAGGGTTCCTTCGGTCAACGCCCCGACTGTATGCAGAGCTGCCGCCAGCGGGGGCTCGGCAGGCCCGGGGGGCATCGGGGCCCAGGATCGGGGGCGTCGGGGCCCCAGGATCATCACCACCGATCGATGCGGCTCGAAACGTGCAGCATACAGTCAGGAGCGAAAGAAGGACGTACATGTACATAATCCACGCTGGTTTCGAGAGTACGCATTGCGCAAATGTTCGTATGACGCGGCCGGTCTCGCGGATCGAGGGGCCGTGTTTATGTACATAGCTGGGCGCGTACGTCCTTTGTGGGCTCCCTATACAGATGTTGCTCAGGGGCTCCAGTCGCGATGTTTCGCGATGTTGCCTCTTTTTTTCCGCAGCGCCGGATCTCAGGGGACCCACTGTCGCTTCGCCATGGCCCTCCCGAAGCATCCCCGCGTCGCGAAGACAGAGCAACGTGCCAGCATCCAGCGGTTTCGATCCATTCCGTCCTGTATATTGCGCCATTAGGCCTTCATCTTGTTCGGGGGGGGGAGGGGCACTGTGCGTCCTGCACGCTGCAGCGTTCAGCTTTTGTCCGAAGGGGCCTTTTCGGGTGCTCCAGGGCCGCTGCGACACCCGCCGACGGACAGAGAACCAGTCAGCGCCATGGAGAGGGGTGGCTTGGAGAGGTCGGATGTCTGATATGGCGCCAGCGCAGCTAGCTTGCCTTCCACCCTCTCCGACCTCCATTGTCCCTCCATCTTCACATCACCCTCCGGCCCCCATCTCCACGTCCTCGTCATCTTCGAAGCCGCACCCTCCTCGTCTTCCAATCCTCGTCCCCCTCCGTCCCCCTCGATTTCCTCCACTCCCCACTTTCTACACATGTCCCGTTGCCCCTCTCTCCCCCCCTTGCAGCACTTCCAGGTTGGCGCAAGACACTTCTCCCTTCGCCGTCGCTCTCGCCCGGCACCTGGGGCCAGGTGTGCCTCCCCTTCGATTCGGACGGCCGCAATGGGTACGGCAGAGTGGGTGCAATGCCGAACCACACATGTGGTCCGAAACCGACAGCGGCCGCTACTGGGTAGACGGCTTCCTGTTCTCAAAGAAGACAGCGTCTCCGGTGGCGCCGACAGCGAGTCCGGATCAACACGAATGGGAATTGCTCTGGGGCATTGTATATGATGATGATGATGATGATGATGATGATGATGATGATGATGATGATGATGATGATGATGATGATCTTGATGATAATGATGTTGGTGATGATGAGGATGCTACTGATGATTATGATGATGATGTTAATGATGATGACGACGATGATGACGATGGTGGTGATGATGTTGATGATGCTGAAGATGATGACGGCGATGATGATGATGATGGTGGTGGTGATGATGGTGATGCTGCTGATGATGATGATGAGGATGATGATGATGATGATGATGATGATACTGGTGATGCCGATGGGGATGATGCTGCTGATGCTGATGCTGATGTTGATGCTGATGCTGATGATGATGATGATGGTGATGGTGATGGTGATGGTAACGGTGATGCTGATGATGATGAGGATGGTGATGATGATGATGCTGATGATGATCATGATGATGATGATGCTGATGATGATGATGGTGATTGTGATGGTGGCGGTGATGATGATGATGATGATGATGATGAGGATGATGATGATGATGATGCTGATGGTAATAATGATGATGATGCTGATGCTGATGATGATGCTGCTGCTGATGATGATGATGCTGATGCTGATGCTGATGCTGATGATGATGATGATGATGATGATGATGATGATGATGATGACGAGGATAATGGTGATGGTGGTGGTTGTGGTGGTGTTGATGATGATGATGATGATGATGATGATGATGATGATGATGATGATGACGAGGATAATGGTGATGGTGGTGGTTGTGGTGGTGATGATGATGATGATGACGAGGATAATGGTGATGGTGGTGGTTGTGGTGGTGTTGATGATGATGATGATGATGATGATGATGATGATGATGATGATGATGATGATGATGATGATGATGATGATGATGTTGGGCAGTGCACTTAGTCTGTCCGTGCCCACCTCGATCGTCGCGACCCGAGCCGCGACCAGGAGGGCCTTCGCGGGCGGCCTCTCCACCCTTTCGGCCCCGGCCAGCTCCTGCCTCCCACCCCCGCCGAGCCTGCGGCCGCAGTGCCCCGCGCGGCGCGCGGGTATCCCCCTAAAGGCGCTCCTCTGTCAGGCCGCGGAGCCTCAGGGGGCAACGCCTACGGGCAGGGCTCGTGGCCACATCCGCTGCAGCTGGGCGTTTCGGGCCGCCTACCCCGGAAACCCGAGGCGCACCCGATATGGATGACAATCTGGCCCCGAGAGGCTCGATGTTCATCCACATCCAGTGCGCCTCGGTCTCGTGGCGCCCCTCCCAAGAAAGTTTGAGGCGCACTGGATACTTCGCCGCTACGAAAGTTCGGCCAACATTCAACGCCTCCCGTTAGGCGACGGGGCCCCAGTACAACGTTGGCAGTGGGCCCGTTAGGCCGCGGGGCCCCAGTACAATGTTCGGTTGAAGCATTTTTCGCTCCAGTCTCGGGCGGCGCCGCCCTTTCGAAATCGAGCCCGCGGGTTTCGAAATCCAGTCGAGCTCGTTTTGGGGAGGAAGTCCTAGGCGAAAGCCACATTTCGAAATCGAGCCCGATGGTTTCGACATCCAGTCGAGCTCGTTTTGGGGAGGAAGTCCTAAGCGAAAGCTGCATTTTCGAGTTTTCGGGTCAGGTCTTTTAAACATGCCAAACGGTGTGGCCATTTTGAAACGGCGGTTTCGCTTGATACTTCCTCGAAAACACGATTTCGAACGATTTCGAAACTTTCGGGTTCGATTTCGAAATGGCGCTCTCGCTTAGGACTTCCGCAAACATAGAATTCGAAACCTTTCTGCTTCGATTTCGAAATGGCGCTCCCGCACAGGACTTCCTCAAACACAGAAATCGAAACCTTCCTGCCTCGATTTCGAAATGGCGCTCCCGCACAGGACTTCCTGCAAAATGAGGTTCGGCACTTGTTCCGTTCGAACTCGAAATGGCGTCCCCGCCACGGGGGTGCTAGCGTCAAGGTGAGTATCGGCGCTCGGCTGCTCATAGGTTCTGTGGTGCTCTCAGGCTTTGGAGTGACGCTCACGGCCGTCGTGGCGTTCATAACCAATGTGATGCTCAGGCATTGTTTAGCTGAAAACACAAAACGAGTCAAAACTTTCGCAGCGCCGAAGTATGGATATATACACATATATATATATATATAGAGAGGGAGAAAGAGAGAGAGAGAGAGAGAGAGAGAGAGAGATCCGGCGTAGAGGCGGCGGCACGGCGGACCCCCCTTTCGCTCTCCTCCCTGGCCCGAGGTTCGATCCTGCAGGAGTTTCAGGCGCTTTGTTGGTTGGCTCTAGGCCGTTCTTCTGGCCGCGGGATGCTCCCAAGCGTCTGCTTACCAGTCTGGAACATATCCCTATCCCTAAGCTGGGCACCTCCTCATCACGCTGCCAATCTGAGGGATTCCCTTATTTTTTGAGGGCGAATCCCTAATATTGTCATCGCTTTTTGGCGTGTCAATCTTAGGGGTAGGGATACGTTCGAGTCTGGTAATCTGCGCCTCGCCGAGAAAAAAGAGGTCTTCTGGGGAGGGCACACGATCGTCCCGAGTGGCTGCGCGAGGGCCGAGCGGAGGCCCCGAGACCACCGGGGACGGCGGGGATGCCCAATCGCCCATGGATCGCCGATAGGGGGTCCGATAACCCTGCGACGGGCACGGTCCTCTACGCGAGGTATGTTCAGCAATCGTGAACACAATAGTCGGGGGAAGACCTCTCGAACTTTTGACTTCTGTTTTGAGCATGTTTTGACTGTGTTTTAGTTCTCTCGCAGAATTCCCCTGTAGGGAGACATGCCCGACCTAACGATAGCCCCATCCCGCCCAAGAGCGCGCGGACATGCC